CCCCCCCCTTCAAAAAAGAAAAAGAAAAAAACTTTTTATTCTGAATGGAATTTCTCGTAAGTTATTTTACAAACAATCCCGATAGCAAAAATCCCAGGACGATTCTTGATCGACATTTTCTCACCCCCGCCACTTGTTACTTCTTTGAAATCCGACTCAAAGCACACCCCTTAGCAGATACCGATAACTTTCAGCCTTTTTGTTATTCTAATCTGTCAAATTAGTCACAGCCTATCGTTTCCTATGTGGGGCGTGTGGAATGCACCTTTACGCGTGTAATTTATTTAAAACGCTTTCGTGGCTTCGGCAGTTTAAGTTTAAGGCAGCATCCAGTGCCAAACAACCGTATACCGGCCGAATAGTGCGCACTTTTGCTGAAGAAAAAATTGGAAAGAACCCCAAGTTACTTGAGGACTACAAAGCCTTCGTCGAGGACATCGTCGTAAAGAGATACATACGAAGACCCCCTCCTTATCAAAGGGAATCAGTCTGCGAAGTCAAGACGTGGTTCATTCCCCACCGTGGGGTTTATCATCCACACAGGCCAGGTAAAATATGTGTGGTCTTTGACTGTGCAGCGAGGTATAGGGGAAAGTCGGTCAAAGATCTGGTATTCAAAGGACCAGACATCACCAATTTTCTTTTGGAAGTCCTCTTACAAGATTTCGCTAGGAACATGTGGCAGTTATGGCGGACATCGAGTCAATGTTCCACCTCGTTAGAGTGCCTGACCCTGACAGTCTTCATTTCTCCGGTTTCTGTGGTGGCCAAGTGGCAACTTATCATGCGCATTGGGAGAATATTAGATGACAGTTCATCTGTTTGGCGCTGTATCGTCTCCTGCCTGTTCAAATTTTGCCCTCCGGAAAACGGCGGAAGATAACGCTCGCCATTTCTCCCCTGACGTGGCAAGCACGGTCAAACGAAACTTATTCGTTGACGACTGTCTTAAATCGCTGCCATCAGTCAATGAAGCTATCACGCATGTCCGTGAGTAACGCAGTCTATAGGAGCGAGGTGGTTTTCGATTGACGAAATGGATCAGTTGCAGCCGTGAAGTTTTACAGAGTATTCCTTAGAAAAAACGTGCTTAAGGAATCAAAAAGCTAGACCTTCAGAAGGATGAGTTATCAATTAATTGAACGCGCACTTGGTGTTCACTGGATGGTAGAGAACGGTAGAGACCAACGGATTTGGTTTCGGACGGCTCGGAAAACGGTTATACGTCGGTCTCGTAACTGCGTCTGGTTGATAACAACGACAGAATTCATTGTGCCATCCTCCAAGGGAAGTCACGTCTCGTTCCTCTTAAACAAGTCACTGTTCCTCGTTTGGAGCTTCAGACGCAAATGTTTCGGTCCGGTTGGATAAAGTTCTGAAGAGAGCGCTTGAGCTGCCATTGACCGAGAACTATTCTGCACGGAGAGCACGTCAGTGTTACATTACGTAAAAAACAAGAACAAGCCATTCCGCACGTTTGCTTCCAATCGCATTGCAATAACACGAGACGGTACTGATCCAGACCAGTGGAGACATGTGAATGGCGACCTCTCATGGGGGTTATTAGCAAAAGCTCTTCTTGCTAGCGAACGATGGACAAAAGGGCCGGAATTTTTCTGGAAGCCGAAAACGCTGTAGCCTTAGGGGCCTACGTCCTTAGGCAGCATTCCAGACACAGATCCAGAGGTGAAGGTGGACGCGAGTGCCTGTATCGCATCGGTGACTGAGCCCCCTCGGCCACTAATAGAGTACTTTAAACGTACGTCTTCCTGATATTGTCCTAAGAAACCAGTTGCTTGACTCCTACGGTATTATGAGAATTTTCGAATGGCCAGCAAAGGTAAAAAATCAGCAAAGACAGTCCCAGCAATCCACTTACAGTGTAGTACCGTTAAAGAAATGGAGACCGCAGAGTTAGAAATCTTGAAGTGTGTTTAGTTGCATCATTTTCTGAGGAGTTCAACTCAATAACCAAGTCGGTCAGCGTGGTGCGTGTCGAGAAAGGTAGCTGTGCTTCGAAGTCTGGACCCAATTCTGGTCGATGGCCTGTTGCGTGTGGGCGGGAGATTGAGCTTGGCGCCAGAACCATTTAATGCTAAGGATCAGATCATCCTGCGAAAAACCGATCATGTACCTAAGCTGATAATCACGCGATCACCGATCATTCTGGTCGACAGTTCGAGCTAAGTCATCTACGCGAAAGATTCTTGATCGTCAAAGCAAGCTCCGCAGTGAGAAGAGTCCTGTCTCAGTCTCACAGCAGTTGGTATCGTCCTTTTCTAGTGCGGCTTGGTCGAAGTCTCGTAAGATATATGGAGTTATCTTTACTTGCCTGGTTATTCGCGTGATGCACATCAAAGTCGCGTTCAGTTTGGACACCGATTTCTTCCTGTTGGCGTTGAGAAGATTCATAGCAAGGAGGGGCCAGGTTAAAGATATCTGTTCAGATAACGGTACCAACTTTGCAAGCGACGAGAAAGAGCTCCGCCAATCCACCAATGCTTGGAATCAGGCGAAAATTCATGAAGATTTGATGCAAAGAAATATCAAGTGATCCTTTAATCTGCCTTTCGGTTCCCATTACGGCGGCGTTTGGGAACGTTGCATTCGCCTAACTCGAAAGGTGCTTCACGCAATTCTCAAAGAGTAGATGATGAAGGCGTGGTTACCTTAATGCACGAGGTAGAGAGCATTATGAACGGCCGTCCAATCACAATAGTTTCAAGCGACCCGCGAGATCCGGAGCTCTTGACGCCTAATCATTTGTTGCTGTTACGCTCTGTGCCTACAATGCCCACGGGTTATTTCGAAAAGACGACTTACTGTCACGTCGCCGATGGAGAGTGCCCTGCAGATATCTTCTGGAAACGGTGGTCCAAGGAGTATCTCCTTTTGCTTCTAAGCAAGCAGAGGGGCTTTCCACCGAGAAGAAACTTAGCCATTGGAGACGTCGTCTTGGTTTCTATGGAGAATTCGCACTGCAACTCGTGGCCCCGTGAAAGAGTTATTGACATTCTTCTTGACAAGAAATGATTCGCTCGTCGCGCAATAGTAAACGTCAAGTCAGCTGTTCTTGAGAGACCGATTGGCAAGTTTTGTCTTCTTGTTAAAGGCGACAAATCTAGAAGCAAGGAACATTAAGGCGACCTAGTTCAAGTTTAACGTGCCATCACCAGATTACAGACTTTAACTATCTTAAGGAGACGCTGCTTTTGAATGAACACATAGCTGAAACGGTTCGCGTTGTTACCTCTTATTTCTTCTTCCCTTTTTTTGTCATCAAGACAGTATTTTCAATTGTATACAGTCCTTAGATCTTGTATTGTATTATGAGTGTTTCGCCCGTGGCTCAACACTTCGGGGCCGGTGTAAGATCGTTAACGCCTATACATTTAGTTAGCCTTTGTTTCCTGGCTTGTGGAATGCGCTTATACACGTGCAATTTATTCAAATGCTTTCGTGGCTTCAGCAGTTTAAGTTTCATAGTTTTGGCAGGACCGTTATTCAATTCGTTTTAGTTTACTTGGAAACACAACAGCAGTATACAGTAAAGTTTATGTAGCCATTTCCAGAGCCATGTCAAATGTAAGTGTCATTTTTTGGCGATTGTCTATTTAGGTTTTGTGTCGCTTTCGGCTTGGGTTTTTCTCTACCGTAACGTTGGTTCATATGTATATTTCTTTCAGTTTTAACCAAAGATTAAATGCGTGTTCAAATGCCATTCCTGGTGTCGGCATCGAATCCGTTGTGTTGGTAGTTATAGTCACTGACATCAGTCCTTATCAGCTTTACACTCTTATGCGTCGTATCATACTGCTGGCGATCATTACCTGAGTATTCTAGACTTCGCTGGAAAGGAGAAATGCGGGCTGAATTTTTTCTGCAAAAAGAGCCTTCATCTAACCTCTTGCAGTATAGCAGTATCACACATCCCAATGAAACGTCCAGTGGGTTTGCTTCCTTGTATTGTTAATCTTTACATAATTTTACCGACAGTTTAATTTGCTTGTTTGCATGTTCCAGTGTCCGGTCTTCTTCTCGTGGTCGTTCATGGCGGTGAGAAGCTATTGTCGATGGATGATGACGGGTTCAGTGATCCCTATTGCATTATAGCAGCTGATAGAGAAAAGGTGCGTTACATTATGAGCACAGAGTGCACTGATTATCTGTTTCAAAAACGCTTTATGATGACAGTACATATCATTGTATTTTTCTAGATAAGAACCACTCCTCACGTCTCGGGATCTGTCAATCCTGTGTGGGAATCTGTGGTGGAATTCCCCGTCAAAGACTTTACAAAGGTGAGAAGAATGCCATTAGATATCTGACAGTGAATAATTAAGGTTACAAAAGGTATTTTCATTCCACCTCTATGGGATGCAATGGCATCGAGCCCGGGTTGTTCGTTGACAGCACCTTAACAGCTTGCTGGTGCCCACAATACTCCTGAGCAGAGAGAGACGCTGGGAGAGGGAGTGTCCTAAATCACATCACACGGTCAGGCTCGTTTCCAGTCACCTCGATCCTACTTTCTGCCCTGTAACAATGGGCCACCGCCTACTCTAAAACAACGAAAAAGAAACAAGTGAGAATCAAGTGGGAATCAAGTGAAACAAGTTCAGCTATAAACATAAACCGTTTTTTGTTTTTCCCCAGACCAATGTTTCCTTTCTGGTGTATGACCGTGACGTAAACTGGCAGGGTCAATCCGATGACTTTATGGGATCCTGTAACCTGCAAATGACTTTGGTATGTTATATTTTGCCTGTGCTTGGTTTAAGGAGTCTTTCTAACAAAGCGTAAATAAAAAAATTACTCCTTTAACTAGACCACGGGGAGAAAAAAGAATACTTCATTATGCGCCAATTGACTTTTAAATGAATGGCTAATTAAACCGGTAAGCTAACTAAAATTAATATAAACTAACACTGGAAATGCTCCTTTTACGTTGCAGGATGAGCCTGCAATCATCAAACGAAAGTTAGAGTTAAAGTATAAAGTGTTTGGAAAGAAGAGATCAGATGACTCTATCATGAAGGCAGGCTCACTTACAGTTTCAGCGGTGTTTCAACCCATCGAGTCGGTCACCAAATCAGGTAGACGAGTTATATAGTTTGACTGCTCTTTCGATATTTCAACTACATTTGTTTGGAGTTCATTCCTTAAAATTTACACTTGCATTTGTGATGATTACACAATTTGTACTAAAAGAGTGTGAAGTTAGTTCGTAATAAACTTTTGCTCGGTTAACCCTGGTGACTTCTATCATGTGGCGTTACCTTTTCTTTCCCGTAATATCACAAGAGATTGTAAGGTCCCCAAAGACTGAGGTGAATCCACAAATTTCAGATGTGGGCTTCACAATTACACTTTCCTTTTATTTTTGTGATAAACAACAACAACAACGACAGAAAACACCTCAGTGGCATAGACAAATCCTGACCACAGAAGCTCCATCTTCAAAACTACTTCATCAAATTTCATTAACTTTATTTTTCGTGTTCTCCAGAGAAAGAACCTGTCGCTGATGGCTTAGTGGAGGGTGAAGATATCGATGATATAAATGTAAGTTTGGCGGCTTTTAAGTTCACGAGATAGTCATAAAATAATGACATGCAGCCCTGACTTTCTTCATAGACAATCTTTGTAAAAGGATATTTATATTTATTAGGTAAATAGTTAGAAAGTACTTTAAAAATCTTAGAGACCATGTGTCAGAGGTGAATTTAACAGCTCTCGTTTGCTTTAAATTTAGATATGCATGTTATCAATACTTCTTTTTTTTCACAGGAACACGCCAAAAAACACACCATGAAGAGCAGTATGAAGATCAAAAGACAAGTTGAGGAAATGATGTTGATCAAAGGTAGCCTAAAAAGATTATTGAATTTAAAGGAGAAGCATTCCCTAGAGAAAGACAATTCCTTAGTCGCCACCATGAACACACCTCAATAACCATGCTGCACACGTATGATATCCCAAACTTAGCCTGTATTGATGGGGACTGTGGCCACATATCTAATTTATTTTAACCATCAGAAGCGAACGAATCGATACATAACTGAGCGAAACGAAGTGAAGTAGTAAAAGACGATTGTCACTGAAAGAAGCTGCTAACGAAGTAAAAAATGCTAAAATATGCAAAATAAAATCTAACATATGAAACAAAATAAGCACTCAATATTAAACTAATTGACAAAAAGCTGCCAGAACGCTGAAACTAAACTAACCCAAAACCCGAAAAGCACAAAAAAAAGTAATTTACATAATCCTGGCAGTTTTAAAACAGATTTTTCTCCTTTCTGTTTCTCAGAGCTTGGTGTTCTAGTGATAACACTTCTCCAGGGTAAAGAAATGGTTGCCATGGACAGTAATGGCCTTAGTGATCCATTCTGTGTGGTGCGCGTTAACAATGCAAAGAAGTTCAAAACCAACGTGGCGTATGAAACTCTGTCTCCGGTGTGGAACGAATCCGTCTCCATAGCCATGCCACAAGAAGGAGATAAGATTTCTTTCGTAAGTTCATCTCTTTACATTGACCTTGGTTATAAAGTTTCTTCAATATGACCTCTGCAAGGTCTCTGTTATCAAAGGAAGATGGAATGTTTAGACATAGGGTTCTGTTTAAGGTGCTTGGAAAGTTGCAACTGATAGGAAAGAAGACAGGCAACAGTAGGATTGGATTGCAACAAGCAAGGGAAAGAGGGCATTGGGGGGTTTCGCTATACATTGTGAAGATATAGAGAGATTCCAAGAGCTTTCTCCTCGAATTTTTTTCAGGATGTCTTTGACAAAGATGTTTTTCAGAATGACTTCATGGGATCAGTTCCATTGACCGTCGATGACGTAAAAGAAGCTGCTAAGGTTCATCTCTTTCTTCAATTCATCCTTTTTCCTAAATACTTTTAAAAAAGAGAAAAAAATCAGGAATTGATTCAATTTAAACCGAAACGAAAAAGTAGACTTCCTTGGCTTATTTGCTTGATTGGTCTCAAAATTCTCGCTATATATTTTCCATGCTTCTCACCCAATCAGCTGTTCTCTTTTCTAGCATTTCTCTGTTCCATGATATTTGTAATTTATAATTCTCATCATTTGATAGAAAAGAGAACCTCAGTGGTTTAAGCTTCAAGAGGCTGACTCAGGAGAAATTCAACTTCAATTCAAAATTTCTAGGCCGGGCGAGCAGGTAATTTTTATACTTCTTTAAAAACAAATTGTTGCTAGAAATGTGAAGAGTTTACGCTTTCTTTATCTTTTTTTTTTTTTTTTTATTCACAACGAACGTTTTTGATCTAATTAGGAAGAGGCTGAGAAAGCGGGGGAAATGCCGTCACAACCGGGAGAAAGCGGAAATGACTCGGGCATCAGTGATGCTGGGGAACAGCCTGAGGCACCGAAAGACGTATTTGATCTTACACTGAACAAGATGGACGGTACTGGGTTGATTCTGACTTTTGTTGCCGTTAGATGATATTTGATAAATGGAAAAAAAAGATTTGTTTCCTAAAGCATAGGATGTTTTCAACATTGCTCTTTCAAGCAGTATGTTCAACGTTAGACAAACACGAATTCAGTCTATGACTTGACTCAAAAGCAACTTCTCTATTACCCAGGTACATGGTAAAATATCAAACCAGCCAAAAAATTCACACTGTTTCATTTTATTCATTTTATGTGTTATTTCTTGCAGAGTACGTAGAAAGTCGGATTCCACCTTTGTTTTATAGCGTGTCAGGAGAAATCATTCAAGCTTCAGAAATAACAGGTAATGAGTATAGCGTAATGAACTGGCCTTGACCGAAGGAGACCAAAAGTGATCATGATACGATAAGTTTCAGTTTTAATCCTGACTGATTGAAAAAGTGTCACGAGATTTATAGAACATTCAGATAGCCTAGTAAAGCAAACAATTAAAGCAATCCGCAATCCCGGTTTATTTTGACACTGTCTCTAGGGCCACTTTCAAGGCTATTTTAGCACCTTTCAAACAATAAAAAAGAAAAGATTCTACAGAAATTACATTTTGTTCAAAAATTCCTACCTCTTTGGAGTGGATAACAAGTGTTAAAGAAAGTTTTAGTGGTAAGCAAGAGAATTGTTGCATTTCCACGGGAGAGCGACTCCGTTTGCAACTTTTTTTACATTTTGTGTGCCTTTGCTAGGTTGGGGTACATTCCAGATTAGAGCACGGGTTGAGATGTGAGTATGCGACACCAGTGTGTTATGATGTGTAATGGCGAAACATTAACCGACAAATAGACTGTACTCAGCTGGAGTAGTGATTCAGAAAGGGACACATTGCCTGGTTGATACTCGCTGAGGGGTCAAACAACATGAATTCTGGGATTCCCAACACTAGCATCAAATAAATTGTATAGAAATCATTTGGAAGAATATTTCTTTCAAGCTTGAGTGGAAAGTCTTACCATTCTTGGTTGTAAAGGGCAGGTAAGCTGTGGTAAGCCATGAGCGCTCTTCAATAAAACTGCGCAGTCAAGATGAATTCCAGCTTCGTCAGGAAGTTCTTTCTCTCCTTAAACACATCCAAGATCTGCATCCCAGATTTCAGTTCAACGCCAACCTAGCCCATAACTTATTTTAAAACAAATTGCATTTTTTTATCTTCTCCAAGTCCTCGTCATGGCCGTAAAAGCAGTGTCAAGTATGAATACATTTCAATGTGCACCACTCCCCAACTTGCTCCTGAGAGTGGAATGGCAAAATGGAATTATATCTTCCAAGTAAGACTAACTTAAGATTGTCTCTTAATTCGAGGAACCCTCAACACATCGAGGCACATCGGCCAAACCTTGCGCTCGGGCAAATGGCTCCTTTTGGTCGGCGGGTAGCAATTACTTGCGCAAAATTTCAAAGGGAAATACAAGGAATAAGCGGTGCCTCGCAAAATTTGGGGGAAAAACTCAAAGAATAGAAAGGATTGAGAAGGCTTATCAGCAATCACTCGTTTCAAAAGTGCTATTGTTGAGAGAAAATATTTCCCTTCTGTATTGATTAGCTAGATTGTGCCTTGCCAACTAATGCGCCTTACTTTTAAGACTCCTTTAAACTGCTCAAAGTTTCAGTCGAATTTTTTCCTAGGAGCGCGCGGACGGGAGAAGAAGTTTCGTACAGAATGAAACACGTCATGTCCTACGTTTTTTATTCATATCAGGGAAGGAACGGAAAAATTTCTTGTCGGATTAAACAATCCAATTGGGAAAATTTGGACAGATCAGTCTGGATTTGCTTCATATCAAGGTAGTTCCCTTATATAACATTTTCTAATGTAGACCGCGGGAGGAACAGCCATATCAAATGAAGCAGGATTGGTTTTTGAACTGAGAGACGCCAAGAAAAAAGTGGAGGGGAAAGCTAGGATCTCGATGCAGGACTTCTTCAAAGGTAATCACATGTTCGATCCAATAATCTTTTTTTGCTTTGCGTTGTGTTGGCAAGCTTCTACTTTTTATGATTTGTTTGTTTTCTTGAATTGTTGGTTTGTAAAATATGCTCAATATGTTATTCGGTTATCTGTTGATGTACAGAGGTTTAGCCCTTTAACCCCTAAGAGTGATTACTAACTATTTTCCCTATCAGTATCACCCCTAAAATAAACATTGAGGTCATGAGAATAAAGGAAATGATCACCAAATAAAGACGCTCTCGATTGTTAAACAAACTCTCTTTGTCAGTACCATAGGAAATGTATAGAGAGCAGTATGGAGAAAATGTATACTGATGTTAGGGTGTAAAGGATTAAAGAACTACGTGTATGAGTATTTTCAATTAAAGGGAGGTTAAGACAGCATACACCATGAATATCCAGGGATACTGAACCAGATGGTATTTTAAAAAGTAATTAATTATCTGGTCTATGATTATGTAGTCTAAATAGTTTCCCTTTCTTCTCTTAACGGCAATCTGTTGAAAGTAATTTCATGAAAAGACGCTTTAAAAGGCCTAAGAAGGCAAAAAAATACCACTCCATGAAGATTTCATTTTACTTTTTTAAGATAATCAGACCGCGATGTGATTCAGATATGCAATTTTCAGGGCCTGGTTGTTCAAAGCTGGGTTAAGTTAACCCAGGGTTAGTGTGAAATTTGATTCATTTTCTTTCTTTTTGTCCACAATTTGATGATTAGATGGTCTAAAAAGAACAAGGAAAATGATCGCATAAAAGGCTCTTGAGTAAAGAAATAAAAAAACATGAATTAAAAATTTAACCCCGGGTTAGTGCTAATCGGCCTTTGAACAACTGGGCCCTGAGCTTTATTCATATCCCTCAGAGATTCTGTTTGTATCATGTCAGCAATTATCAACCACAGACACATATGTGGTCTGCCTGTGTATAGACAAGAGAAAAGTAATGGGACCATTATCTTCTCTCGCTGTGGAGTATGTTAGCTTCTTCTGGTGGCCGGAAGACTTTCAAAAAATCAAGAACAATATGGCAATGTTTCAGACACCTAACCAGAAGAAACTTATCTATAATTTTCTCCTCACTAGAAGGAAATAAGCTTTAATTAAGTGCGGCTGCATTTATGATTGTTCTCTTTCACCAGATTTATTTGTCAAGAGGGAAAGATCAAACACTGGCAGCGGATCTGAAGGTGATGATATATACGCCACTCTAATAAAGTGCGGTACCACCGCCAGTATTTTTCTTCTTCCACTCATCGACGCCTCAGCACCTTCTTTCCATGCCCGTTTCAGGTCCATTTATGAGATGGGTTAGATAGTACATTTGTATTTTTAGTCACAATTGGCAATTGTTATCAATTGATGGAGTAGCCCGCAATTATCGGAAAGACTATCGTTTCTAAACAACATTTCAAACTAATTTCTTTTAATTTAGAGGAAGGTGATTGATCAGTGCACATTCCAAAAACTCAATTACGAACAGGCGTTTCAGCGACCACAAATGAAATGAAAGAATTTATAAAATCTGCGTTTTCCAAGAGGCTGTCTACCGCTTCACTGGCTTAAGCGAAAAAAAAAGCTGGAGGCCGTCATTTTCATCTCTTGCTCCCCGGGGTGTTTATTCGTCTCAGACAATCGAGAACCCGGAACAGACAAACTCATAAAATGTTACCTCCGGCTTGAGTTCTGTCTTCGCATGCTTGACCTCAAAAAGAAAAAAATACTTTAAAAAGATTTTCAATAAAAACTGGTGTCTCGATGTAGGCCGCAAGTCTAATACCGTGACTCATTCCTCTCTGTAAGATCTCCAGCAACCTTATCATTCCTTCAAAATGACCGTTGAAAACTCAAGACTGACTCGTCTTTTAACGCCATTTGTAATTTGTTATCGTTTTGGCTCATGCTGAGAATGCGACGATTAATTCTATAGTGGTCGGACCTTGGAAAACGCAATCATGAAATTTTATTTTAATAATTATAATGATTTGTCATATAACTGTGCAGAGTCCTGACTTATAGCTTCTAATTACTTTCCAGGAAAATATTCAGAAACCAAATGGCTCAATCTTGAAAACGGTACGTTGAATTTTTGTAGTTCGGGACCCTAATTAACCGGTCGTCGATAAAACAGAACCATGTTTTCATTACCTACTTAAATATGTAATTTCTTGTGGGTCACCACTAAAAATGCAAAGTTAATCAAGCGAAACTGCAAACATGCATTAACCAAAGAAAGGAGGGGGGGAGGGAAGGCGAAACTGCATACAACCTGTATGAAAGGCTTTCCGCTGTTTGAAAATTTCCCGCAGATGCTCCGAAGTAAT